TTATAAACCAATGTTACTGCAATAAACAAAAATTTAGAAAAGAAAAAAAGAAATTTACAATAAAGATTTATATTTTATTTTATATAAATTGTGTGCTACACATCCTTTATATCAGTAAATTTTATAATAAACTTATGTACATTTACATACACATACAATTATTTTTGTGCATAGTTAATTGTTCATAATTTACCAATACACACACACTATGGCCAATTTCAAGCTATCAACGTGACGTCACTAAACGTGGAGTTGGGGATAGTTACGAATAGCATACCATCATTTCATATTTTAATTTGGAGACTATGAACATTGGGGAGAAACTGTTTTAACAGTAGTAAATGGTAATGTTTGACATGACTGAAATATGATATTCATGAGCACAATGCAAAACAAGATCAAACCATGAAATATGATATAATCCTGTACCCAGAACAAGATTAGTCTAGTGAATAGGAAGAGTAGCTTATAAGTGTGATATACAGGAAACAGAGTCCTATTTAAAAAAAAAAAGCAAAATTCCTCTGGTTATTAAAGATTTTGTCAATTGTTCCTTAAGGGTAATGTATCTGAAGGTTAACATTAATTTGACAATAAACATGTACTGAACATCTATTATGTGCCAGATGGTGTTCTGTCAGGACTTAGAGATGACACTTAAGATCACACAGTTAAAAGAATAGCTGAGAATTTTGAGGACATTATACTAAGTGAAATACACCAGTCACAGAAAGACAAATACTGCATGATTCCACTTATATGAGGTATCTAAAGTAGTCAAACTCACAGAAACAGAAAGTAGAATGGGGGTGGTCAGGGCTGGGGAGGCGGGGAAAGGGGGAGTTGTTCAATGGGTATAGAGTCTAAGTTTTGCAAAATAAAGTTGTAGAGACCTGTTGCATAATAATGTGAATATAGTTGACACTACTGAACTGTACACTTAAAAATGGTTTAAGATGGTAAAAAAAAAAAGAATAGTTAGAATTTGAATCCAGGCCTGACTCAAAAACTCACGTTGAGGGCCGGCCCCGTGGCTTAGCGGTTAAGTGCGCGCGCTCCGATGCAGGCGGCCCGGGTTCGGATCCCGCGCGCGCACAGACGCGCTGCTTCTCCGGCCATGCTGAGGCCGCATCCCACGTACAGCAACTAGAAGGATGTGCAACTATGACATACAACTATCTACTGGGGCTTTGGGGGAAAAATAAATACATAAATAAAATTATAAAAAAAAAAAAAAAGAAATTAAAAAAAAAAAAACTCACGTTGAGCAATTATGTATCACTGCTGCCTACTTTCAAATAATTTCATCTTCAGTCAAAGAATATTTTCTTTCTCTGATTTACACAGGTCCCCCTCTTCTGTATGGCAGGGTAGCAAGCCATTGGTTAGCAGCTGCATTGCCTGAAGCCTGACAGACAGCAGAACTTTTTCTTGGAAGCCTGGCATACTCAGCCAGGAGAGCAAATTCCAAATGGAGTCAACAATTAAAGAAATTAAGTGGAGAACTAAACACAAGTCAGAAAATAGGCAAGGGGGATCTGGGAGAGAGAATTTTGGCTGTTTAAAAGACAACATACATGACTACATAGCTGAAAAAGTGCTTATTCTATTAAAAGAAAAAAGTCTGTGATGAAAGAAGTTTAAAATTTTAAGTTTTTTTTTTTATGTTATAACTTGATGTAAGTAATTTAAATTTTCCTGAACCTCAATTTTTCTGGGCTAAAATGGAGCTAATGTTAAGTGTAGGCAGTATATGACAGAGGAGGGCCTGAAATGGAAGGAAATACTTCTGAGAATAAATTAAAATCAAATTTACTGAGTGGGAGCAGCCATGTCTAGAAACGACAAAACTCAAAATATTATAAAAGCAAAAGATTCTAATATTACCCAGATGTAATCAAAGCAAATTGAGTGTTCCAGAAAAGCAAGAATATAGGTCGCTAGAATGGAAAGAACAATGGAATTAGACTTGATTTTAAAATCTACACTTACAAGTGGGGTAGTGTAGGGTAAACTACTTAATCTCTCCGAGCCTCAGTTTCTTTACTGCAGGGTGTCATGAGCATTTATTTGACATTTATTGACTATTAGGGCCAGGACTGTACTAGGTAGGTGCTAGGGATACAAAAATGAAAGTGGCATTGTCCTTGCCCTCAATTTTCAGTATAATGTAATAAATATCATGATAATATCTACTGAATATTTTTTTATGTGCCAGGTACTATTATAAATGCTTTTAATTCATTAAATCTTTATCTACTCATTCACAACCTAAAACGCAGGTACTATTATTATCACTTACATTTATACGAGAGGCAGAGAGGTTAAGTATCTTGCCCAAGATCAAACGTTGGAGCTTGGATACATCTTGACAGAGGACAGAAACTTACAAATTTGTGCCTGTGCAGGGTGGCGGTGGAAGCTTTCTACACTGGAGAACTTGCCACACTGAACGGAGAACTGAAGTTCACCGTTCGCAAAACGGGGATTAAACTGTTACTACCAAGTTGTGCTGATTAAATGAAGTAGTGTATTTAAGAGTGTATTTGTGCCTGGGACACAAAATTACTACTATTAATTTCATTTTATTCCTTTAAGTTGGATCACTGTGGCGAAGCGCAGGAACGTTTTCAAGGCTTTGGCTACATAGTATAAAGCAGCTTTTCAAATGCGTAACTCACATTGTTACCAACAATGTAAGAGCTTCTAGTTGCTTTATGTTACGATATAAGATAGGGCCACTCTCTTTGATTACTTTTTTCAGTTTTTGACAATCTCACCTATTTTCTCTGTCAAGTTTTCCGTCTGCCCCATTTTACATCCCCACCTCCACCACAAACGAACTTCTCCGAAGAGCCGCCGAGCGGCGCCTGGGCGGCCGCCTCACCCATCCACAAACGACGCCTCACGCCCTCGCCATGAGCGCGAAGACTGAACCCAGTTCTCGCGGGAGGTGACGTGGTTTTGAACGAAAGCGTCTAATCCCACCCTACCTCCCAAGGGTCACATGACTGGCGCCTGCGTCCTAGACCCAAGGCCTTTCCTGGTCGCCTATTTGGCTGTTAACTCGGCTACAGGTTGCGGCGAGGTCCATTCCGGAAGTAGACCCTTTAACTAGCCCTCCTCGGCGGAAGCGTGTCACAACCTAGCCGTCCACCCTTAACGGAAGTTCGTCACGTCGCAGTTGCTGCCGCACAGCGGATGTGGGTCGCCGCTTAGGTGACGCTGGGAAGTGCTTGCAGCCTCCGCCGCTGCCTTCTGATTAAAGCACTATGGAGGGAGAGAGGAAGAACAACAACAAACGGTGGTATTTTACTCGAGAACAGCTGGAAAATAGCCCATCTCGTCGTTTTGGTCTGGACCCAGATAAAGAACTTTCTTATCGCCAGCAGGCGGCCAATCTGCTCCAGGACATGGGGCAGCGTCTTAACGTGTATCCTTGCGGCCTAGGCCTTCGGCCTTGGAGTCAGTCCCGCTGTGCTCGGGCGTCCAGGCCTCAGGCTCTGTCAGGGACGGAAGCGGGAAGAGGGTGGGCAGGGGCTGGATGTCTAGGTGGGAGAGCTGACGGTGGGGCGGGCTAAAGTTCAATGTTCGCGCGGGGAAAGCGAGGCGGAGTTAATTTCCCGCTCGCTCACCCGTGCCACCAACCTTGCTGGGAATTCGTATCCTTCCCGGCTTTGTGTTTTAACCAGCCCTTCCTAGTCGCTTTTCGGTGTGTTCTGATTTCCTGCTCTGATGACTTTGGGATTCTGCTTTTCCGCTATGCCCTAGGGGTCTGGTGGAGGTTTCACGGTTGATGGCTGCCTCTTGAACTTAGTGTGTAAATCGAGTTTTGAGAAATTCAATATCTGAAGGTCTTTGCAAAGGGTGGCCTGAAATTAATGCCCCAGCTTTGGTTCAAAATCCGTTCCTCCCATTTACTAGCTGTTTAAGAAAGCTGTCGAATTCTTGGTTTTCTCGTCTGTAAAATGGGGTGATACCACTTGCGTTTGATTTTGTGCCAAACACAGTGCTTGGCATTCAGATATTCAAATAGTAGTTAATGTTAGAGCTTATAGAATTTCAGAGCAAGGAAGGATGTCAGTTTAGATTTGTAGGGACATAGACCTACGGATCTAATGTTTTAAAAACCGTTTACAAAATAATGGGCTTTTAAGTTATTCAGAGGGCTGATGTGTATTCTTTTTCCTCATATTTCAAAGATGAGGTAATTTAGTGATTTTTTTTCCGTGTATTTTTATGTGTCAGAAAATATACTCATTTTGTAGCAGAGAAAGCTAATGTAGCTTCAAAGTACTTTTCACTCTGGAAGTGAAAAATTATTCTTGGGTGCAACTTCTCTTTAAATGTGTTGCTGGCTGTAGTATTTGTGTTTTAAGGTGTGCTCGCCTCAAAAGAGGTGTCCTCTTTATTGCTGATACCCAGTTTGTTTTCTAAGCATTTTTATTGCTGATATCCAGTTTGTTTCCTAAGTCAGTACTGAGTTAAACCTTGTTTTTTTTAAATTCTGTTTCAGTGCATCCTAGCATCCTAGTCCTTTCCTTTTTATATATGTTGTTATTAAGATTGTTGCCATCATGGGACTGCCTCATCTCTGTATACCCCACAGGGTCTTTTGAGGTCTTCAGAAGTAAGGCGTTTAAAAGTTTTTCTTTCCAAGGAATGAATATCAAATCATTCCACAGTGTTTCTGGTCCCAGGGATCACGGAATGAGAAGGCTTGGTTGCCAGAGAGAAGTGAAACAAGTGGAACTGAAAAGTTAATTGCTGGAGTTTAGAAGGTGAGGAGATAGTGGAGACATACCTAGGGGCTGGTTGAGGGAGGTCATTGGAAATCATGTGAAGAGAGATCCTGAGCTAATGGGTCACCACTGCAGGGTTTTCAGTAGGCAAGTGACAGGTTTAGGTCTTACATAGTTTTGTTTTTGTTACTTCTTGATCCACACGTTCTGAGAAGCTTGCTTGTTTATTAATTCAGCAAATTTATGTTGAATACCTGTTACGTGTAAGGCATTGTGCTGTCAATTGGTGGTTAATAATTCAGTGAAAGAAAACAGACTTGCTCTTTAATTTGGAGAAGTAAGTATGGTTTTCATTTAGGAGCATCTACTGTGCTTGGCTGCATGGTCCTTTTGGGAGGATATAGAGGTGGTATTTTTTGGGAATTGTACTGCCTGCTGTTTTGGGCCCTTAACTTGAATATTTTAGTTCACAATTGACTATCAACACTGCTATCGTATACATGCATCGATTCTACATGATTCAGTCCTTTACACAGTTCCATCGAAATGTAAGTATAATTATTTTGTATAGTATAATCTTGTGATTTTTATATTTCTTGTGTGGTTAATCTTTGCTGCTAAACTGAACTTTTCAGTTGGGATTTGAAGTTTAGCATTTAGAGTTGATCACTTGCATGGTGTGTCAGACTGCTATTCTGAATCCAGCCTTCCTATTTTCCTGTGAAGAGTCTAGCTAGTTGTTTGATAGATTTAGTGCATCCTTAGATTAGGTAAATTCTCTAATAAAGAAATAGATTATTGAACACTAAACTTAACATTTTTGGGTTGGGAGACTAGCATTAAAGGGGAAACTATGCTTAATTTAAGTGTGATTTTTGAATCACACTAAATAATAGTATGCTAAATAATAGTATGGTCACAGGAAAACAAGTGAATGTAAGTTATTTAGATTTTTTAAAAGCATTTGATAAAATTCCATTTGATGACTGGTTGCAGGGGGAAGGTACATTATGTGATGATTAGGGGTTGACTTTTAAGACAGGAAAAAGAAAACAGTAATAAAGGGATTTTTTTTTCCTGGACAGAATTGTAAATAGTGCAATTTTCAGTTTTGCTACCTGAAATGGTCCTATTTAACATTATTGTAAATGACTTGGAAGCGAGTGCATAGTGATATCCCAGTTGCAGGTAAGACTATATTTGTTTAATAAAGTCACAAGTTAATAGGGCTAAACTTGATGAACACATCATGTGGATTTGTGAGTCAAATATTTCCCTTTTTTTTTTTTGAGGAAAAGTATTTCAGACTTATCCTTAGGATGATGGGTTTTGAGCTCTTTTTTTATGCCATAGGAGGATAATCTGTGAAACTAGATATTGCTCTTGTAATGTAAGATATTGGCGGACTCGGTATTGAGAGTAATTGTACGGGAAATCTTTTGGATTTGTGGATTAAGTATTCCCTATTTTTGCTGATTATCCAGTCAGCTTGGCTTTCTTCTACCCTTAGCCTCCCTACCTCCTGCCCCACCCTCTCTCTGATTGCAGGGAGCACACCCTTATTAAGGGAGAGGGAAGTGTTTAATGAGGCTGTGTGATAGCTCTGCAATAGAAGGTCATGGATAAAAAGCAGAATTTGAAGAGGAAGTCCATAGCTTGCCAATTCTGAAAGTTTTCTACATTTTTTCCCTTTTATTATGATAAAGATTTGAAATCCAGGGTGAAATACATCTCAAATCAATTTGTGCAGTCTATGCATATGTATATTAATATATACTTACCCTACTTTTACCTTTTACATTATGTCTTTCCTTATTTCCTATGTATCAAGCTTAGCAAGGACAGAGACTCACTTTTCTGTGTATCCTACAAGGCCCCTTCAGTAAACTTGTTGAATGAATGAATGATCTGGTAATTATCCAATATAGAGAGATTCTTTTGGATGCCATCACCTTTTCCAAAATCCAGTGACTCTTAAATTTGGGGTTGTTGATCCTCTTTAGAGAATTGATTTTAGGCACATTCTAGAATTAACAGATCAAAAATATCATCCCTTTAATATGTTAATTCTAAGTGTTTAGCTGTGATGAATCTAAATTCAGATTTGAGAGGACTTAATACACTGTTGTGACATCGATATATGTCCTATCAAGCTCCCATGCGTTTTTCATGTTATTTTTTCGTATTACGAAGGTGAAAAAAAACTCGTGGTAAAACTTACAACAATACAGAAATGTATAGTAAAAGTGAAAGCAGCTCTGTAATCCCACCCTCCAGAGGTGACCACTGATAAATGTTTTGGCATATAGCGTCCCAGACATTTTTCTGTGCATGTACTAGCATTTATGTATTTCTATAAAAGTCACTTCTTACTATACTACTCTTACACAACTTGCCTTTATCATTTAGCATATATTGGACGTTTTTTCATATTGGTTTCTCATTATTTTAAATGGCCACATAGTATTTCTTTGTGTAATTTCCATAATTTATTTCTCCAGCTCCCTAATAATGGATATTTGGGTTGTTTCTAGTTTATTATAAGTAATGTTACATAAGTTAGTCTGGTACATATATAGTGTACTTATATGACCATTTTAATATAAATTCCTGTAAGTGGAATTGCTGTGTTCAAGGATATGCATTTTTAAAATTTTTGTTTTGTTAATTTGCTCTACTGAAAGATTATGTCAGTATCCACTGTTTCTAGCACTGTAGGAGAGGGTTCTTTTCTTTCTATCCTCACTAACAACAAATATTCATTACTTAGGAAATAGTAAGTTTTAACTACTTGCTAGACACTGGGGATACGGTGGTGAACAAGATAGAGGGAGTCTTAACTTATTTTCTTAATTTACTCTTCTCCAATTAGTGAAGTTGAGTTTCTTATGCCTATTGGTCATTGTTCTTATTGTGAAGTGAGGTTGAAGAGTTGACTTAAAAATTGACTGTTGATTCTTTTTTTGTCCCTATTTTATTCTTTTTTTTTTTTTTTTTAAAGATTTTATTTATTCAGTTTTTTCCCCCCAAAGCCCCAGTAGATAGTTGTATGTCATAGGTTCACATCCTTCTAGTTGCTGTACGTGGGACTCGGCCTCATGTTGGACGGAGAAGTGGTGCCTCGGGGCGCTCCCGGGATCCGAACCCGGGCCGCCAGCATCAGAGCGCGCGCACTTAACCGCTAAGCCATGGAGCCGGCCCAGTCCCTATTTTATTCTGATTTTCTTATTTATATGAGCTCTTTATGTGTTAGAGCTGTATGGCTCATGTTGTGAATACTTGTCTCATTTTGTTGGTATCTCTTTGTTTATAGTGTTTTGAGCCTAGAGCTCTTGCCTTTTCTTCTTTTTAAATTTTTATTGAGGTATAACATACAGTCGGGGCCGGCCCGGTGGCGCAAGCAGTTAAGTGCGTGCGCTCCGCTGTGGCAGCCCGGGGGTTCGCTGGTTCGGGACCCGGACGTGCACCGACGCACCGCTTGTCAGGCCCTGCTGTGGCGGTGTCCCATATAAAGTGGAGGAAGATGGGCAAGGATGTTAGCCCAGGGCCAGTCTTCCTCAGCAAAAAGAGGAGGATTGGCAGATGTTAGCTCAGGGCCGATTTTCCTCACCAAAAAAAAAAAAAAAATACAGTAAAGAACAAAAATCTGGTGTGCAACTCGATTACTTTTTGCATTGTTTATTTATATGTAACCACCACTCAGCTCAAGATACAGTATATTTCCAATACCCTAGAAGGTAGAGAACTTGCCTTTTGAGTGAAATAAATTTTATTTCCTTAGTAGACATGATTAAATCACTGGTTTATTTTCACTTAAATTCTAGCATTGCATTTACTCTCTTTGTGAGAAGAAATTCAACCTCATTAATTGAATTTCTGTATGTACTGTCCTTAATGTTTTCCAGTGGGTGAATGTAAAATAGCGGTGAGCAACTTGGTGTGTGTGTGTTTATGCTGTATTTTGTATATTTTATTTTATTTTATTAATTTATTTATTTGGTGGGGAAGATCAGCCCTGAGCTAACATCCATGCCAATCCCCCTCTTTTTGTTGAGGAAGACTGGCCCTGGGCTAACATCTGTGCCTATCTTCCTCCACTTTATATGGGATGCCGCCACAGCATGGCCTGACAAGCGCTGTGCCAGTGCACGCCCGGGATCTGAACCCGGGCTGCCAGCAGCCGAGCACGCACTTAACCGCTACACCATGGGGCCAGCCCCTGTATTTTGTATATTTTAAAATACAGGTATTGTATTTTAATAGCTAACAAATTTGATTGGGTGTATTTTACTCTTATTAGTTGACTCCTCAAAGGTCAAGCTTATTGGTTAAGGGGAGGGACTCTTGGAGTCAGACATGTCTACATTTAGAACCCTTGCTGGAGTGCTTACTAGCTATATGGCTTTGGGCAAGTTACCATAGGCCTTAGTTTTCTCATCTCTTTGGAGTCTATAATAATGACTCATAGAGTAGTTAATAGGATTTGAATGAATTAATTTAAAAGTGCCTGCACATAGCAAACAAATATTACGTGGCATTATTATTGTTCTTTTAAAATGGAGGAAATCTTATACCCTTACCTGGTATAAGAATTCTTCTTAAAAACTGCCTCTGATGAAAAAATGCTTTGATAAGCCAGCTTGGTAAGTGATTCCACAAGGAGCCATGAGTATTTATATGGTTGATTGCACAAAAATTTGATTAAAATTTATCTCTTGCAGTCTTTCATTTACTGAGATATTATCTTGCCTTGTTAGCCATTGTTTGTATACCATATTTTAGTTAGCTCCTTTCATATATTTTTAGCCCCTTGAAGGTGAAGTTGTAGGCTTAAAATCTTAGTATTGTCTTTGAGTTGTCCTTTTCCTTTTCCCCTTTGTCCAATCAGTTATAAAGTCCTGTTCATTTTTATAGTGTTAGTTTTCTCTTTCCCTATAAATATATATTGCCATCATAAAATTAAAAGAAGACAGAAAATAAAGGAGAAAATGATGATTTCCCTATAACCCACTGTTAAGAGATAATCCTGTTAACATTTTGGAGTATATCCCATTAGAATTTTATTCTCTTTGTGCAAATACATATACATATATTTAGTGAAGCCCTATTAGTTTTCCAAAGTGATACCTGTGTTTCTTCTTTCCTTTATTTCTACTGCTGGTGCTTACTCTAAACTTTATTTCCTAATGCCTGGATTATTAAAATTTTTTCTTTTTTAAAAATTAACTTCTAATGTAGCCTATCCTTTCTTCCTTTTAGTCCCACCTACCACCGGATTAATCTTTCTAAATATTTCTTAATCTACATTTTATCTAAAATCTTTAGCGTCACTCTCTTGTTAATCTTTTGTGTCCGACATTCCATCATCTATATAATTTAACTACTCAGTTTAGTGTTCAAAATGTGCTGCACGCCCTGATTCCCCACACCTTTGTTCATGCCGGCTTTCCTCTGGTTCTGCTTCCCTTATGCTAAGGTCTAGGAATTTATATGTAGCAAGCGGCATATACAACTGCAGCAAATATGAAGGAAGAGAATTGTTACTATGAATTGAATTTGTGGAGAAAAATCTGTTCTGCAAAGTATAACAGGGGATACAAATAAGTATTAGAATGCTTGTCAGTTCTCCTCAGTAAAGCAAAATAGGTATTTAAGTTCTGTAAAATTATTTATTGCATTTCTTTGACTCCTGGCGAATTCTAGCTCTTGCCGTTACCATCTTTGATTTACTGAAATATACTTGTTAAGATTCAAGAGAAGTTATACTTCCTGAGGTCTCCCAGATCATCAGGCTACAATTTATATGATGTTGCTCTAATCTCTTATATTGTTTAGTGTCTGAGTTTGTTCTCTACTTGTGTATTGGCTTGAATTTTTTTCCCTCTAAGTGCCTTCTATGTATAACCTCTTGAATATAATACTGTACTTTGGATTCCTTTTTTTAAGATTTGTGCTCCTGCTCATATATATAAGTATAATTGAGATAATTTGAATACAATAAAATTCATCCTTTTAAAGTGTGTAATTCACTGATTTTTAGTATATTTGCGAAGTTGTGTAACCATCGCCACAGTGTAATTCCAGAACATTTACATTACCCCAGAAAGAAACTCGTTCCTTAGCGGTCACTCCTGTCCTGCTCTCTTCCCAGCCGTTGGCAACCACTAGTCTACTTTCTTCTCTCTCTATGGATTTGCCTGTTCTGGACATTTCAATTTACTCCGTTAAAACAAGGTATATAGAGTGCTTTGATACAAACTCAATAATCTCATTTTAAATAGAAAGCCGTCATTTACATCTAGTGGCTTCTTGCATAGGGAGCTTTTTTTTTTTTTTATAATTTTTATTTATTTATTTTTTTCCCCCAAAGCCCCAGTAGATAGTTGTATGTCATAGCTGCACATCCTTCTAGTTGCTGTACGTGGGACGCGGCCTCAGCATGGCCGGAGAAGCAGTGTATCGGTGCATGCCCGGGATCCGAACCTGGTTCCCCAGCGGTGGAGCGCGTGCACTTAACCGCTAAGCCACGGGGCCGGCCCGCATAGGTAGCTTTTAATGAGAGATAGTTTGTTGAAGGATTGGTTTTCAGAAGTGGACTGATCAATGGATAGAAGAGGGGAGGACATTTTAAGTAGAGGAAAAAGCGTAAGCAAGAAGTGATGAAGTTGAAGTAAGCAAAGAACTTGGTTTGATACAGTTCTTTTTTAGATCTACGTTGATCTAGAAATAAAAAATAAATGATTTATTTTCTCTCCATCCAGTCTGTGGCTCCAGCGGCCTTATTTCTTGCAGCTAAAGTAGAGGAGCAGCCAAAAAAATTGGAACACGTCATCAAAGTAGCACATGCTTGTCTCCATCCACAGGAATCACTTCCTGATACTAGGAGTGAGGTAGGGGATTAACTAAACAAATCTGTTTTTCTTAAATTATTTTGATCATAACTTAGTTTTGTAACTTTGATTTACTGAAGTCTATTGGGGGCTGTTAAAGGAACCTTTTAGTGTTTGTGTTTTCCTTAATAAAAACATAGAAATTTTATGGCAAAAGTTAATTGTATTCACTGTAGAGAAATTGGAAAATGCAGAAAAACGAAGAAAATATATCACCTAGATATAATATGGACCACAGATACATAAGTCAACCATTATTATTTCCAGCTTCTTTTCTATGAATGGCTATACATGTATATATTTTGTACCTGTTTTTTTCCTCTTACTATATCCCAAATATTTTCCCATCTTACTAATTGTCCACTTTAAATGTTAAGATAGTATTTCATCGTATATACCTATGTATATTTTAACCATTTTCTGTTAAGGAGATAATTTCCAGCTTTTCACCACTATAATATCATTATGAGGACATTCTTTCAGATAAATTTTTGTTAATGGGTAGTTTTAAAAAATGAGTCCTGTCAGTGGTGTTTTTTTTTTAAACTTGTAAAGAAATTACAAAAGTTATATATGCTCATGATAAAAGTATCCAAACATTTAAGAATCATTTAAAGTAAAAGTAAAGCTTATCTCCCCTCCTCCTCCTAGGAGGATACTGCTGATTACAGTTCCAGTAGATATTCTTCCAGACCTTTATCATATGCATGGACTTGTAGCTTTTTTTTTCTTCCATCCTTCCTTGACTTCTTTAAAGGAGGGAAACTCTCTCTTGGCTTAGAAGTCCCCAAGTGATTGGGGAGTGCTGAGTAGTGAGAAATTGAGAAGTCTGACATTTATAAGTGCTTGGAAAAAATTTATGGATTTTGGTTACTTGATTATTTAAGTCTCATACAATGGATGCATGAGTCATCTTTTGTCAAGTAGATAAATGGAATTGTGTATTCTTGTGATCATATTGGACAAAGTGTTCTTTTTTGGGGGAGAGTTTGTTGTTGTTTTGATAATAGCCCCTAGTTATATGCATTAAGTGTTTGCGTAGCAGTGTCTTGACTTCCTTCATTTTCTCTTTGGGCTATACCAGTAGCTCTTGTTGGAAAAACAAGTTATTGCTCTGGACTTTCATTTAGGTTTGAGACTACTAAATGCCATTGGTCCATTGAATTGACCAAATAAAACAATTTTATTTTAATGAAATGAAACAAAAAATAATCCCTGCTTTTTTTTTCTTCTGTAAAATATATTTATACAACTTCTCATCTGAGTCTCTATTCCTTATGAGGTGACTAGGGGAAGATATTTTCTTCGCTATGTGGAAAGGAGAACTAGCGTAGTTTAAGTCCTTATGGGACTTATTCAAGATCATAAAGTTAAGTGGAAAGTTAACTACAACATAAGTCTCTTAACTCCTGGCCCAAGTCTCATTCTTCTAGAGTTCTAGACCCGTGCTGACCAGTGGAAATAAGGGGAGTCGCACGTGTAATTTAAAATTTTTACCTTTGTTTATTTATTTATTTATTTATGAGGAAGATCAGCCCTGAGCAAACATCCAACATCTATGCTAATCCTCCTCTTTTTGCTGAGGAAGACCGGCTCTGAGCTAACATCTATTGCCAATCCTCCTGCTTTTTTTTTCCCCAAAGCCCCAGTAGATAGTTGTACATCATAGTTGCACATCCTTCTAGTTGCTGTGTGTGGGACGCGGCCTCAGCATGGCCGGAGAAGCAGTGTGTCGGTGCGTGCTTGGGATCCGAACCCGGGCTGCCAGTAGCGGAGTGCGCGCACTTAACCGCTAAGCCACGGGGCCGGCCTCCAAAATTTTTACCTTTTCATTGAACTTCATTTAAAATAAAAGTGAAATTAATTTTAATAATATATTTTGTATTATGATAATGTATTTTTTAACCTCTAATATTATGATTTCAGCATATGATTAATATTAAAACAATATCTCAATATTAATGAGATAGTTTACATTATTATTATTTTAACTAAGTCTTCAAAATCCAGTGTATTCTACATTCATAGTGCATGTCAGTTTAGACTAGCTACATTTCAAGTGCTCAGTAGGCATATGTGGATACTGGCTATAGTGTTGGCCATTACAAATCCGAGAGATTTTTTTTTTTGTTCCCTTTTCCTTTGAACTCTTCCATGAATTTTCAGAAATCTAACATTACCCCAAAGGGGAAAGTTTAACAGGAGTCAAATGTTTGAGATTGCCTGCAGTACTGTAGGAAGGCTCTGCAAATATATTTTGATGATAGTGGAAAAAGAAGTATTTTTAATTTTCTTGTGTCTACATTGCATAAACTTTAAAGCCTAAAATGTCAGTCTGAAAATGAACCAAGTGTCATGTGCTTTTTCTGTAGCCATTTAAGAAGAAAGTGTTCTTTCTCAGTATACTGCTTTTTTTTTTCCTTTTAAAAGGAGAATCTGTACTGAATAGGGATAAGGATTAATTTCACTTCCTACTCTACCTCATAACTCCACCCCTGTCTTTTGTGGCTTTGGTTTCCCTGGGAGGGGTTGTTAGAATTGCTTACACTTTATAGATTGTGCTTTTTTGGGGAATAATTTATGTGTCTTCTTACCTGCAGGCTTACCTGCAACAAGTTCAAGATCTGGTGATATTAGAAAGCATTATTCTGCAGACTTTAGGTAAGTTTATTTTCCTTTAAAACATTAAAGAAATGTGTATGTAATGCATATAATGATATGATTTTAAAATTTGCAAAGTAGGAAATAGGAAGAAAATCTCTTGGGAAGGTTTTTGCAAATTATAGAGGTTGTAGAGGTCAGCGTTTAACCCTGGTCTTCTACCGTAGAAAGAATGCAGGCACAGCTGACCTTTGAAATAGCAGTTAGCAGCTTTTTTTTTTTTTCATTCTATGATTCATGATTTGCTCTTTACGGTTTGGCAGTTTTTAACTTTCTGATAAATAACGGCAGAAACTATCTAAAGGATTTTTTCCTTTCATGGATTTTTATAGTCTGTTTGTTCTTACATTTAGATAATAGCATTTGTTTTTAAAATTAGTAATCAGTGTTCAGAACAGCAGAGTGAAAGTGGAGGAATTCAAGCTATAGCGGGTGATGGGCAACCCTAATGATGTTCTCTTAGTATCTATTATTATTTTTATCAGAGAGACTGCCTTTAAAAGCTTAGCAAGTATGGAAAATAAAGTTTTTTTTCTAGTTCTTTTGAACTATCATTTTTCTCTTGTCTGAGTAGGGGAGGATTTCTTGAGTTATGTGGGAAAGTTACTGGTACAGCTATATTTTATTGCATATGTATACACACACAGTGAGTTCTTGGAAGTTTATCTCTGAAGTTAATTTCTGCTAATTAACTTTTTACTTTAAATAAATTATCTTCAAGGTAACCATATTTTAGGTGACAATGATATTTTTCTGATGGAATAAATTTTTATTAATATTTTAACATGGAAGAAACCAGTAAGATCTAATTTGCAAGAATCAATTATCCTTTTAGAATAATTTACGTCATGAAAATTTCTCAATAGAATTTCTTTACTTTTATCTGGAAAATTTTATTTACATATGCAAAAAGAGAACCTCAAAAATTTTTATAGATACACTGATCCTTCTTAAGTAATTTTGGTAAAGACCATTTGGAGTTGGATAAAATGATCGGTACCTATTGTAATTGAGATGATGAGAAGGAACAAAACTGAGGTAAGAGGGGAATAGATTTTAAAATGTTTTCTCAAGGTTAAACTTCAGAAGATAATCATCACTTGAGTGACTGCTTCTTCCAACTGTATATTATATTCTGTTGTCCGTAAAAAAGTGTTTTGTGTTTGGAGGTGATTGGTTCTTCAGGGGTCTTGAAACTGCATTAACTTTATTATCTTAGAGGTACCTTCTAGCTCAAAATATAAGCAGCTTTGGAGATAATGTGTCTTAGAAAAGAGCATGCTGCATACTTTGTGTGACTCTTAGCCTCTGAACAGCAGTTTTGGGACAGGAAAATGAGAGAGGCCTTTAGTGATGACTCAGATAAAAGACATATAAAATGTCTCTAGTATCTTTAGCTTTTTAACTAGTTATTTTTTTTTAGGCTTTGAACTAACAATTGATCACCCACATACACATGTGGTAAAGTGCACTCAGCTTGTTCGAGGTAAGGAATCTCAGCTTGAGACCGTTGTCTTAAATTGTTTTACCATTTAAAGGCTAAGATTTGCTGTAGATAAATGCATAACATAGCTGCTTTGGCCAAAAGTTAAATTGAAAGGGCTTCCTGGCTTAAATCAAAATGAGTGGTTCTGACTTGAGGTTTTTCTGTTGGGCTCTTATAAATTAATGTTTTCAGTTGATTGCCAGTTAAAGAGAGTTAGCTTCTTGAGGATGTTTGTCAAAGCTGGAAAAGTCACCAAATCATAAATAGCTACCAGCAATTTTAAGGATGTCTTGGGAGTGGGTGATCTTACTCTGATTCTAGGGTTAATTGTCCCAGATGTTCTTAAAGGCCACCCAGAGGATCATCCAGAATTTATTTGAACTTATTTCCGTGATTGACAATCCCTTGGCAGGACTTTGTTTTTATTCTAATTTAACTTTAGTAGCTATAGTTGCATGCAACCTAGTTCCTCTTATTTAGTTTAAATAGTAATGTCAAGAATATCTAGGGCCGGCCCTGTGGTTTAGTGGTTAAGTGCACACACTCCGCTGCTGGCGGCCCAGGTTCGGATCCCGGGCGTGCACCAACGCACCACTTCTCCGGCCATGCTGAGGCCGCGTCCCACATGCAGCAACTAGGATGTGCATCTATGACATACAACTATCTACTGGGGCTTTGGGGGAAAAAAAAAAAAAAGAATATCTACACATCGTCGTGCATTTATGTGTCTTTTATAGTTTCGTGGACTAAACTGATGATTGGCCTTATTTTGTATTTTGCTAATGTGTGTTTCAACTGAAAATCCCCGGAGGTTTCCCGGAGTTTTTTATATTTTGAAAGCGTTAAAAGGTTTACATTGAGCAATGATAGGGTTAAACAGAGATGGATATATATGAATGTTTAATCTAAGGAAGATTAAAATTTGCTTTGTCACCCAGAGCAGTTTTTTTTGGAAGGAGGAATGTGGTTTTTTTTTTTCCTTCACTGTAATATATTAAATAATTTATTTGATGATTTGGGGATTAAATCACAGGCTACTCAATTTAAAACTCTTAATTTTTTTTTTTTTTTTTTTTTTTACCAAAAATCGTTTTTCCCAACTATATCAAGGTCTTCTGGATCTGGTCTTGCCTCTAAATTAGTTCATTTCCTAGTGCAGTATTTCTCAGTGAACCCTTGCATCAGAATCTCTGGGTTACTTGTTAAAAGTGCTTCCATCCTTCTCCAAACATATTGAGTCAAATTCTAGGGAGGACGCCCAGAAATTGTGTTTTAAACAAGTCGTCCAGATACTTGGTGTGCAGAATAAAGCTTGAGTCCCTATGTCTGGAAGCAGCATTAATTATTATAATTAAAAATTGCTAATCTGTTTCCTTTGGTAGAATGTAAACATCAGGTGGTCAAGGACCACGTCTGCCTCATTCACCACTATAGTCTCTACTTTGCAAATATTAAATGCTTACTAAATAATTGTTGAGAATGAATGGAACTAATAACATTTCCCCCTCCCTCCCGCTTTTTTTTTTTTTAGCAAGCAAGGACTTAGCACAGACTTCTTACTTCATGGCAACCAACAGGTTTATATTTTAATATTTTTCCCTTCTGTTTTTGGGATAGAACTTTACTTGGGTTGGAATTGTCACTTTTTGAGGGGTATATGGAAAGTTGTCAGGTCTGGCATCTAGTAAACTAGAACCCAAAGACCCAGGCATGGATCTTTGATACAACGTATTATAGATAATTCTCTGGTAAATGTTGATTTTTCTGTACAGTTTTCATGTTGTACCTTAAATTTCCATGGTGCTTTTTTAATTTGCTAAGTTGATGTAATTATATAGTACTGATTGTTTGATAGCCTGCTTAATTCTGCATATGTTAACTTGGCTTAAAAATATCCAAGAGCATAGTTCTGAAAGTTTGGGTAAACTTAAGGTTCATTGACAGTGACTAAAAATCTAATTTGGAGGATGCTGCAATAATTATGATATTTTAAAAGACTCCCTTTTCTTCCCCCTCTCCCAGATAAATAGGCATGTATATGTGGGAAGAGTTGTAATACTATTTCTTTCTTCTTCCCTTTTTAAAGAAAAAAATTATTAGTACATAACTTGTATTACCAAATGATTTGCTCATTCTCATTTCCAATCTGTTGGTTGTTCATGGAAAGCAAAGGTACTCCTAATGACTGTCAGGATGAAGAAGTTCATTTTTATAGCCTGATAAGAGAAAATTTTTAAATAAACCATCACTCAAGCATATTCACACTTGAAAGAGTGATTGTCTGTTAGTTATTTTAAATAGACCAGACCTGTGATTGGCAAGAGACGAGATAATTTTTAGGGTATTTCCTTAAGTATTTGATTTAGGGATTATACATATCAAAAATCCTACAATTTTCCTTAAGTTTTGAACTTATTCTCAGGATAATTGATCTTTGTTTTAAAAACTGAGTACTCAGACTGTTTTATTTTTGTTTTTTGGTTTTTTTTTTGGTCCTTTGTCAGTGTGTGGATTGAATGATGTGTAGTCAAAAAATTTAGAAATGTTGTTACTGAGCAGGTGGGTTAATGGAAAAGCATGTTGAGTACTGGACCAGAGCACTGGATATTTCTTGCCCTTCTTGCTCTCCAGTGTTTTTTTAAACTTTTTTTTTAATTAATGGAGAGTTTTAACTTGGGTTCAGAATTGAGAGCTCATGACACTCTCTTGTTTCCTTCCCTTTGATGTCAGCCTGCATTTGACCACATTTAGCCTGCAGTACACACCTCCTGTGGTGGCCTGTGTCTGCATTCATCTGGCTTGCAAGTGGTCCAACTGGGAGATCCCAGTCTCAACTGATGGGAAGCACTGGTGGGAGTATGTTGACGCCACTGTGACCCTGGAACTTTTAGATGGTAAGTTTTAGAGTAAGGGACCTTGAAAAGCACTTGCTCTTGATCTGTCACATATCTGGCCAAAGGTGACATGATTCAGATGAAAATAGTTAGTTGAGGTTATTCTTGTTTCATTACTTTTGCCTCTCTGAGTTTTTCTTAAATGTTCTATTTCATTTGTAGAACTGACACATGAATTTCTGCAGATTCTGGAGAAAACCCCCAACAGGCTCAAACGAATTCGGAATTGGAGGGTAAGAATTATTACTGTCAGCTTGTGGAACAAATCATTTTCTTCGTTGACTGCGCCGGTGAATACACTAGAATTGGATATGCACCCTAGGTTTGGAATTTCTCTTTTTGTAGTTATGCAATAATCCTGACTTCAACTTCATAACTTGGATACTGGCCCAGAAGTCAATGCCTGTAGGTGATAGCAGGATTTATTTTGTGTTTTGCAACTCTTGTGATATAAACCATTTGGTCAGCAACTTTGGTTGAGTATTTTCTGTGTGGAGACTGTTAAGGAAAAAATGTGGCTTCTTTGAGTCACAGTGTTGGCTTCTGGTAGAGGAAAGATACAGTTACAGGGTTAGAGCTGGTATCATAATTTTGCTTTTGACATTACCTGCTTTTTTAAATGGACTTAAGAATTTTATTTTTATATAGATTGCAGTTTAAGGTTGTATTTCACATATTTTTCAAACTCTTACTTATGAATAATGGAATCATTCCTTTTTTTTTTCAGTGTCAGTTTGTTTAAAAATGTTCCCTTGGGCTGGCCCCGTGGCTTAGCGGTTAAGTGCTCGCGCTCCGCTACTGGCAGCCCGGGTTCGGATCTCAGGCGCGCACCGACGCACCGCTTGTCTGGCCATGCTGAGGCTGCGTCCCACATACAGCAACTAGAGGGATGTGCAGCTATGACGTGCAGCTACCTATTGGGGCTTTGGGGAAAAAAAAAGGAGGAGGATTGGCAATAGATGTTAGTTCAGAGCTGGTCTTCCTCAGCAAAAAGAGGAGGATTAGTACGGATGTCAGCTCAGGGCTGATCTTCCTCACAAAAAAAAAAAAAAATGTTCCCTGCATTTCTCAGGTATCCAGACTGATAAGCTTAATTTCATTCCCCTGAGTTGAGTTGCAGAAAATTACCTAGGGTTCAAAGGAGACTTGAGAGCACATCAGTCATCTTTTACTTTCGTATAAAATCTTACCAAAATTTCTAGGGTTTGCTTTTGGACCAGCTGCAATCATAAGCAGTTATAAGGCGTAGAAGTTCATGAATGAATTTTAGATATGCACAACTTCATTTTTTTTATTGCCTTCTATCATTGGTATAGAGTACTGTGACTTTTTTTTTTTTTTTAATCATAGAACACTTAAGCAAATTTTTAAGTATGCAGTGCTACACTTGATCTTAGTGAAAAGGCTGAGAAGGATTAAGTATACAGTGCTATATTGTTAACTGTGTAGGCACTGTGCTGTACAGTAGATCTCTAGGACTCATTCATCTTATGTAACTGAAACTTTGTATCCTTTGACTAATAGTCCTCTTTCCCTCTGCTCCCCAGACTCTGGCAACCACTGTTCTCTCTACCTATATGAGTTTTCCCTATTTTAGATTACTCATATAAGTGACACCATGCAGTATTTGTCTTTCTGTGTCTGGCTTATTTCTCTTAGCAAAAGATCCCCAAGGTTTGTCTGTGTTGTTGCGAATGTCGGGATTTCCTCCTCCTCTTTTTTTTCAATTGTGGTAAAATACAAATAACATAAAGTTTACCATCTTAACCATTTTAAGTGTACAGTTCAGTGGTATTAAATATATTCATATTGTTGTACTGCCATCTTTACCATCTATCCCCATAACTCTTTTCATCTTGTAAAACTGAAACTCTGTGCCCATTAAACAATAACTCTCCATTTCCCCTGACCCCAGTCCCTAGCAACCACTATTGTATTTTCTTTCTTTTTTTTTTTTTTGTGAGGAAGATCAGCTCTGAGCTAACATCCATGCCAATCCTCCTCTTTTTGCTGAGGAAGACTGGCCCTGGGCTAACATCTGTGCCCATCTTCCTCTACTTTATATGGGACGCTGCCACAGCACGGCCTGACAAGCGGTGCATCGGTGCGCGCCCGGGATCCGAACCCCGGCTGCCAGCAGCGCAGCGCGTGCACTTAACCGCTACGCCACAGGGCCGGCCCTGTGTATTTTCTGTTTTTATAATTTCGGCTACTCTAAAGTACTTTATATAAATGGAATCATACAGAATTTGTCTTTTTCGCACTGGCTTATTTCAATTAGCTTGCTGTCCTCAAGGTTCATCAATGTTTTAGCATATTGTAGAATTTCATTCCTTTTAAAGGTTGAATAATATGCTTTTGTATGTATATGCCACATTTTGTTTATCCATTCTTCTGTTGATGGAGACTTGGCTTGCTTCCACCTTTTAGCTATTGTGAATAATGCTGCTGTGAACACGGGTGTACAAATATCTCTTCAAAACCCTGCTTTTGGTTCTTTTGAGTATGTACCTAGGAATGGAATTGCTGGATCATACGGTAGTTCTATTTTTAATTTGTTGAGGAACTACTACACTGTTTTTCATAGTGGCTGTACCATTTTCGTTCTCACCAACAGTGCATAAGAGTTCAATTTCTTCACATCCTTGCCAACACTTGTTTTATTTTTTTGATAGTAGCCATCCTAATGGATATGAGGTGGTATCTCATTCTAGTTTTGATTTGCATTTCCCTGATAATGGTGTCAAGCATCTTTTCATGTGCTTATTGGCCATTTGTTTATCTTTGGAGAAATGTCTATTCATTCAGGTCCTTTGTCCATGTTTTAATTGGGTTGTTTGGTTTTTTTTTTTGGTTGAGTTTTAGGAGTTCTCCATATATTCTGGATATTAATCCCTTATCAGATATATAATTTGCAAATATTTTCTTCCCTTCTGTGAGTTGCCTTTTTACTCTGGATAGTGTCTTTTGATGCACAAAATTTTTAAATTTTCATGAAGTCCAAATTGTCCTTTTTTTTTTTGTTATCTCTTCCTTTGGTATGATATCCAAGAAATCATTGCTAAATCCAATGTGGTGAAGCTTTTGTCTTATGTTTTCTTCTATGAATTTTATTTTTGTGGGTCTTACATTTAAGTCCTTTATCCATTTTGAGTTAATTTTTGTATATGGTTTTAGGTAAGGGTTCAACTTCATTCTTTTGCATGTGGATATCCACTTTTCCCAGCACCATTTGTTGAAAAGACTGTCCCTTCTCCATTGAATATTCTTGGCACCCTTGTCAAAGATCAGTTAACCATATATGCAAGGGTTTGTTTCTGGGCTCTCTATTTTATTCCACTTATCTGTATGCTTGTCTTTACGCCGGTACCACACTGTTTTGATTACTGTAGCTCTGTAGTAAGTTCTGAAATCAGGAAGTGTGAGTCCTCCAGTTTTGTTCTTTGTTTTCAAGATTGTTTTGTTATTCAAGGTCCCTTGAGATTCCTTAGGATGAGTTTTTCTATTTCTCTAAAAAATGTCATTGAGATTTTGATAGAGACTGCATTGAATCTGTAGGTCACTTTGGATAGTAGTCACATTTTAACAATATTAAGTCTTCGAATCCAGAACATGAAATGAGTTTCCATTTATGTTGTATTTAATTTCTTTCAGCAGTGTTTTTCAGGTTTCATTGTACATGACTTTCACCTCCTTGGTTAAGTTAATTGCTAATTATTTTATTCTTTTTGATACTATTATAAATAGAAATGTTTTGATGATTTCCTTTTCAGATTGTTCATTGTTTGCATATAGAAATGCAACTGAATTTTGTGTGTTGACTTTGTATTTTGCTCACTTTGCTGAATTCATTGATTAATTCTAACTTCTTTTTGGTGTAATCTTTAAGGTTTTCTCCATATAAGATCATATTTGCAAACAGAGATAGTTTTACTTCTTCTTTTCCAATTTGGATGCCTTTTATTTCTTTTTCTTGCCTAATTGCTTTGATGAGAACTTCCAGTACTATGTTGAAGTCGTGAAAATGAGCCTCCTTGCCTTGTTCCTGATCTTAGAGAAAGCTTTCAGTTTTGCACCATTGAGTATGATGTTCGCTGTCGGTTTTTCATATATGGCTTTTATTATGTTGAGGTAATTTCCTTAGATTCCTAGTTTGTTGAGTGTTTTTATCCTGAAAGTGTTGAATTTTGTCAAATGCTTTTTCTGCATCAGTTGAGAGGATCATGTGGTTTTTTCCTTCATTATGTTTGTGTGGCGTATTACATGGATTGATTTTCGTATGTTGAACCATCCTTGCATTCCAGGAATAAATGTGACTTAGTCATGGTGTATGATCCTTTTAATATGCTGTTGAATTCAATTTGCTAGTATTTTTTTATTGAGGATTTTTGCATCAATGGCCATAAGGGATATTGGTCTATAATTTTCTTTTCCTGTAGTGTCTTTGTCTGGCTTTGGTATTAGGGTAATGCTGGCCTCATAAAATGAGTTGGGAAGTGTTCCCTCCTCTTCAGATTTTTGGGAAAGTTTGAAAAGGATTAGTATTACTTCTTTAAATGTTCGATAGGATTAAGTGAAGGACTTATCTTGGTTGGGAGATTTTTGATTATTGATTCAGTCTCCTTACTAGTTATAAGTCTATTGAGATTTTCTTTTTCTTCATGATTTAGTCTTGATAGGTTTTGTGTTTCTAGGAATTTGTCCATTTCATCTAGGTTATCCAGTTTGTTGACGTACAATGTTCATAGTACTCCTCTTATAATCCTTGTTTGTGCAGAATCAGTAGCAGTGTCTCTCTTATTTCTGAGTTTAGTAGTTTGTCTCCTCTCTTTTTTCCTTAGTCCATCCAGCTAAAGGTTTGTCAATTTTGTTGATCTTCTCAAAGAACTAACTTTTTGTTTCATTGATTTTTCTCTATTTTTCTATTTTGTTTACCTCTGCTCTAATCTTTATTATATCTTTCCTTCTCCTTGCTTTGGATTTAGTTTGTTCTTTTTCTGGTTCCTTAAGTTGTAAAGTTAGTTACTTTGAGATCTTTCTTATTTTTTAATGTAAGCATTTATAGCTGTAAATTTCTCCCTTAGCACCACTTTCACTGTATCCCATAAATTCTGATATGCTGTGTTTTCATTTTCATTTGTCTCTAAGTAGTTTTTGATTTCCCTTTTGATGTCTTCTTTGATCTATTGGTTGTTTAAGAATGTGTTGTTTAATTTCTCCAATTTGGTGAATTTTCCAATTTATCTTTTGTTATTGATTTCTAACTTTATCCTCCTGTGGTCAGAAAAGATACTTTGTATGATATCTTTTAAAATCTGTTGAGACTTAGTTTGTGGCCTAACATATGGTCTATCCTGGAAAGTGTCCCCTGTGCACTTGAGAAGAATGTGTATGCTGCTATTGTTGGGTAGAATGTTCTGTATATGTTTGTTAGATCTAGTTGGTTTATTTGTTAAGTCCTCTGTTTACCTATCTTCTGTCTGGTGGTTCTGTTTATTATTGTGAATGGGGTATTGCTCCATTCACAACTATTGCTGTAAAACTGTCTATTTCTCCCTTCAATTCTGTCATGTTTTGCTTCATATATTTTGATGGCCTGTCATTAGGTATGTAAATGTTTATAATTGTTATATCTTATTGATGTATTGAGTCTTTTGTTAATGTATAATGTCCTTCTTTGACTCTTGAAACCTTTTTTGATTTATGGGTGATTTTGTCTGATATAAATGTAGCCACCTCTTCTCTCATTGGTTACTGTTTGCATGGTTTATGTTTTTTCCATCCTTTCACTTTCAACCTGTTTGGGTCTTTGGATCTCAGTTGCTTGTAGACACCATATAGTTGGATCATGTGTTTTTATCCATTCTACCAATGTTTTCTTTCTGTCTTTTCATTCAGAGTGTAATCCATTTACACTTAAAGTAATTACAGATAAGGAGGGATTTACAAGAAGGGATTTACTTCTGTCATTATGCTATTTGTTTTTTTATATGCCTTATAGCTTTTTTGTCCCTGTTGCCTGCATCACTGTCGTCTTTTCTGTTTAGTTAATTTTTCATAGTGAAAATTTCAAGTTCCTGTCACGTTTTCCTTTTTTGTATATTCTACAGCTGTTTTCTTTGTGGTTACCATGGGGATTACATTTAATATCCTACAGTTATAATACTCTACTTTGAATTTATACTAGTTTAACTTCAGTAACATATGAAAGGCCTTTACAGCTGCATCCTCACCCCTTTTGGTTGTCAGTGTCACAAAATTATATCTTTATACCTTGAGTGTCCCAAAATGTAAACTAATAATTCTTTTAAATGCATTAGGCTCTTAAACTAATGAAAATAAGAAATAGAATAAATAATAGAAAATAAGATTTGGAGTTATAAATCGAAGTTAAAGTAATACTTGGCTTTACACTAATAATTTTTTTTTCCTTAAAATATGTTAGTCTCTTAAATCTTGTAGAAAACAAAAAGCACAGTTACAAATCATTGTTACAATAATACTAGCCTTTGTAATTGCCCATGTATTTACCTTTATTGAGATCTCTATTTCTCCATATAGCTTCAAGTTACTGTTTAGTCTCCTTTCATTTCACCTTAGAAGACTCCCTTGAGCATTTCTTATATGACTGGTCTAGTGGTCATGAACTCCCTCAGCTTTTATTTATCTAGAAATGTCTTAATTTCTCCCTCACTTTTTTGAAGGACATTTTTGCTGGATATAGGATACTTAGTTGACAGTTTTTCTCTTTTAGCACTTAGAATGTATCGGCTCACTGTCTACTGGCCTCCAAAGTTTCTGATGAGAAATCTCATGATCTTATTGAGGATCTCTTGTATGTGATGATTTGCTTCTCTCTTGCTGCTTTCAAGATTCTCTGTCTTTGGCTTTTGAAAGTTTGATTATATAGATGGTCTTCGACTTAACAATGGTTCGACTTACAATTTTTCGACTTTACAGTGGTGTGAAAGCAATATGCATTCAGTAGAAACTGTACTTCAAGTTTTGATTTTTTCCTGGGCTAGTGATAGGCAGTACGATACTTTCTTATGATGCTGGGCAGCAGCAGCGAGCTGCAACTCCCAGTCAGCCACGTGATCATGAGGGTAAACAAGTCATACACTTAAAACTATTCTGTACCCATATAGCCATTGTGTTTTTCACTTTCTGTGCAGTCTTCAATAAATTACATGAGATATTCAACACTATTATAAAATAGACTTTGTGTTAATGATTTTGCCCAATTGTAGGCTAATATAATTGTTTTGAGCACGTTTAAGGTAGGATAAGTTAAGCTATGATGTTTGGTAGGTTAGGTGTGTTAGATGCATTTTTGACTTAAGATATTTTCAACTTAGGATGGGTTTATCAAGTCGTAACCCCATCATAAGTCAAGGAAGATCTGTGATGTGTCTCCATGTGAGTCTCTTTTGAGTTCTTCTTGCTGGGAGTTCATTGAGCCTCTTAGATGTTTATATTCATGTCTCATCAAATTTGGGAAGGTTTCAGCCACTGTTTCTTCAGATATTCTCTCTGTCTCTATCTTTTCTCCTTCTGGAACTCCCACAGTGCATATATATGGTGGTCCACTTGATGATGTCCCATAGGTCCCTTAGGCTCTGTTCACTTGCTTCAATCTCTTTTCTTCTGTTCCTCAGACTCAGTAATTTCCATTATCCACTCATCAAGTTTGCTGATCCTTTCTTCTGCCTGCTCAAATCTGCCTTTGAATCCCTCTAGTGCATTTTTCATTTCAGTTATTGTATTTTTCAGCTCCAGGATTTCTTTTTGGTTTCTTTTTAGGTTTTCTATCTCTTTATTGATATTTCCATTTTGTTCACACATCATTTTCTTGACTTTCCCCACATCTTCTTTTAATTCTTTGAGTATCTTTAAGGGAGTTATTTTTAAAGTCTTTGTCTAGTAGATCTGCTCTCAGGTGTTTTTCAGGGACAGTTTCTGTTGATTTATTTTTTCCTTTGAATGGGCCATACTTTCCTGTTTCTTTATATACCTTGTGATCTTTTGGTAAACACTGGACAAATTAATAACGTAGTAACTTGGGAAATCAGATTCTCTCCCTTCCCCAGAGTTTGCTGTTTTATGTTATTGTTTTTGTTTATTTGGCAGGGTGGGGAGTTGATTTCGTAGGGTCGCTCTGTGCTGAAGATCAGCCTGAGGTATAAACTTAAAGTCTTCTCAGGTCTTTTCTGAGTCTTTCCCTGGACATGTGTGGTCATTTTTAAATTTTCACAGTATATGCAGTTGTTTTTGAATGTCCTATTCTTTAATGTCTGGCTCCCAAAAGGGGAAAAAGGAAAAAATGAAGCAGGGGAGGAGGGGTGTTGGCCCTTTCAATCCCCTGAAAGTCACTTCAGCCAGAGAGGGAGGGGCTTGCAACAATGGAGTGAGGTGCAACAACAATGGCTGCCTGCCTCTTTGTCTGTACCACTGTGATCAGAAGCAGCAGCAATCAGAGCACAGATTCCCAATATTTGGAGGCTAGAGTCCTTTTTGCCCACTGTGGCTCCCCCAGGCTATGGGCACGCTGCTCCAGGAATAGATGCATAGCTGCCTGCTACATGGCTGGGGGTGTGGGGGTGGTAGTTGCTACTGCTCTGAGAGCTGAAATTGATGAAAATTAACCCCAATTGATTGTCTAAGGCTTACCCTGGAAGTTGCAAGCCTGCAAAAGACTCTGGAATTTCAAAATAGTTAGTTCAGACAGATTCTGCCAGTGCATTTGTCTGGGTAGGGAGATAGGTTCCTGGTGCTTCCTACTCTGCCATCTTCCCAGAATCCTTCTCCTCCTTCTTTTTTTGTTTTTTGTTTGGTGAGGAAGATTGGCCTTGAGCTAACATCTGTTGCCAATCTTCCTCTTTTTGCTGAGGAAGATTGGCTCTGAGCTAACATCTGTGCCAGTCTTCCTCTATTTTATGTGTGGGATGCCACCACAGCATGGCTTGATGAGCAGTGTTGGTCTGTGCCCAGGATTCGAACCTGCGAACCCTAGGCCACCAAAGCGGAGTCTGTGAACTTAACCACTACGCCACCAGGCTGGCCCCTCCCTGTTTTTTTGTCTTGTTTTGTTTTTTGTTTTTTTGTTTTGTGAGGAGGACTAGCCCTGAGCTAATGTCCGATGCCACCCCTCCCCTTTTTTCTTGAGGAAGATTGGCCCTGGGCTAACATCCGTGCCCATCTTCCTCTACTTTTGTTTTTTATATGGGATGCCGCCACAGCATGGCCTAACAAGCAGTGCGTAGGTGCACGCCTGGGATCCGAACCTGCGAACCCTGGGCTGCCGAAGTGTAGTGCACACACTTAACCACTTGTGCCTCCGGGCCGGCCCCCCTTCCTCGTTTTTTAAGGCTAAATAATATTTCATTTTCTTTATCCATTTATTCACGGATGGATTCTTGGGTTGCTTTCATATCTTGGGTATTGTGAATAATGCTGCAGTGAACATGGGAATGCAGATATCTCTTTGAGATCCTGTTTGTGTGACCCTTGATTGAAGTTTTTAAAAATCTTATGTCTCCTGTTGGTAATAATTATTGATCTCGTGTTGGAGTAGCCTTTTGCTTATGGGCTATCCAAAATTCCCAGTGTCAAAGCAAGCACAGTCTACTCATTTCAGTGTTTTTTCCATTTGATAAATTATCTGAAGTGATGTCCTTTGCTTCATTTTAGGCATGCCAAGCTGCCAAGAAAACAAAAGCAGATGACCGAGGAGCGGATGAAAACACTTCAGAGCAGACAATCCTCAATATGATTTCCCAGAGCTCTTCAGACACAACTATTGCAGGTTTAATGAGCATGTCAACTTCTTCTACCACAAGTACGGTGCCTTCCCTTCCAACCACTGAAGAGTCATCCAGCAACTTAAGCAGTGTGGAGATGTTGCAGGGCGAGCGTTGGCTGTCCTCCCAACCTCCTTTTAAACTAGAACCTGCTCAGGGTCATCGGACTAGTGAGAATCTAGCACTTATAGGAGTTGATCATTCCTTGCAACAGGATGGTTCAAATGCGTTTATTTCCCAGAAGCAGAGTAGTAAGAGTGTGCCATCAGCTAAAGTGTCACTGAAAGAATACCGTGCAAAGCATGCAGAGGAGTTGGCTGCCCAGAAGAGGCAACTGGAGAACATGGAGGCCAATGTGAAGTCACAGTATGCATATGCTGCGCAGAATCTCCTGTCTCACCATGATAGCCATTCTTCAGTCATTCTGAAAATGCCCATAGAGGGCTCAGAAAACCCTGAGCGGCCTTTTCTGGAAAAGGCTGACAAAACAGCTCTCAAAATGAGAATCCCAGTGGCGAGTGGAGATAAAGCTGCCTCTTCAAAACCAGAGGAGATAAAAATGCGCATTAAAGTCCATGCTGCACCTGACAAGCACAATTCTGTAGATGACAGTGTCACAAAGAGCCGAGAGCACAAAGAAAAGCACAAGACTCACCCATCTAATCATCATCATCATCATAATCACCACTCACACAAGCACTCTCACTCACAGCTTCCAGCTGGTACTGGGAACAAACGGCCAGGTGATCCAAAACATAGCAGCCAGACAAGCACCTTAGCACACAAAACCTATAGCTTGTCTAGTTCTTTCTCCTCTTCCAGTTCTACTCGTAAAAGGGGCCCCCCTGACGAGACTGGAGGGGCCGTGTTTGATCATCCAGCCAAGATCGCCAAGAGTACTAAACCCTCTTCCATAAATTTCTTCCCTCCTCTTCCTACAATGGCCCAGTTGCCTGGGCATAGCTCAGACACAAGTGGCCTTCCTTTTTCACAGCCTAGCTGTAAAACTCGAGTTCCTCATATGAAACTGGATAAAGGCCCCACTGGGGCCAATGGTCACAACACAACCCAGACAATAGACTATCAAGATACTGTGAATATGCTTCACTCCCTTCTCAGTGCCCAGGGTGTTCAGCCCACTCAGCCCCCTGCATTTGAATATGTTCATTCTTACAGTGAATATCTGAATCCACGGGCTGGTGGAATGCCCTCCAGATCTGGCAATACAGACAAACCCAGGCTACCACCTCTACCATCAGAACCTCCTCCACCACTTCCACCCCTTCCTAAGTAAAAAAGAAAAAGAAGAGGAGAAAAAAACTTCTTTAAAAACACATACTTTCTTTTCTTTTTTTAACTACTGATTCTGGACTAAGAAAATTACTTCCCTTATGAAATATGTCACCCTTCTTGGACTAGGGAATAAATTAATATTGAGACATAGGTGGAAGGGTGGGAGAGGGCCTTGGTTACTATATCTGCTGCCTCAGAAATTTAACTATTTTATTGTAGTTTTTACTGGTATTAGAGAGGTGAGAATGTGTTGAAGCTGTGAAGGATTAAGAATACTTTCTCTATTCTTGGCCTTTCCACCTCCTAATTAGGTTGATTAGAGTTGATATCTTCCCTCTTCTTGCCAGGACTGAAATATGGAGGGTTTGTTTTATCAAACAGTTGTGGATTCTTTTGGTGTTTAATATATCAGAAGAGAGGAAGTATTTAAATGTCAAAATCTTTTAAGAGACTTTTAAAAAATAATTTAAAGAAAGTAAGTTATCTGTTTAGTTTTTTTATATAAATGGGGAGGGGATAGGGATTTTGCTGTGTGTATGAGATACATAGCATTGAGTCCTGGGGGGTGGGATTGGAGGGCGGGGGGGGGAGTGTCAGCGGGATGGGAGGATAGGCTTTTGGCCATGAGTTCTCAGATAGGCTCTGGCCACTTGAAGTGTTGAGACCTTTAAGTGTGTATGTAAGTGTGGGTATGTGTGTTTTTAAGTGTGTGTGTTTAAAAATCATGTTTTATCTTTCCCTCCCTGCCCCTCACCATTTTCACTTCCCAACGGTCTATTAGAGAGAACACGGTGTGGCCTTTAGAACATAAAGGAAGGAAGAGGCATGTATTTGACATGGTATTTTCCACTTTCTTTATGTTATTATTGAGTGTTTAGCCTTCTAAATTCTAGTTTGGGCAAGTGCAGCCAATGGCCTGACTCTGGACTCCATTATAAAAACTTCCTTTTTACCCTTTTTTTCCTTTTGATGCAGAACAAAGATGGGGTTGAGGAAGAAGGGTTGGAGAGCATGGCTGGCTTCTGCCCTACAGAATTGGGTCTGTCTTTTTTTCCAAGTTGGGCTTTGGGAAAGTGTTCAAGTGATAGCAACCTCAGGGTCTCTGAAGAGAAGGAGGATGTGCTATATGTCCTGCCTATGAAAGACCAGACCATATGTGAGAATAGTTCTGGGAGAAGCCATGGAGCTAGAGATTGTGATTGGGAATTTTTAGGACATTGTATTTTAAATTACATTATGAATGTAAAACTTGCTTTTTATCTGTATATCTGAAGGGAAACAGCTGCATCCTCAGTTTTTGCGGCCTATATGATTTCAGAGATTGGAGCTTGTGAATTTAACAGTACCGGTGCCATGAAGGTAAGCAAGCCTAGCCCACAGGTACTGTTAGGTTTACATTGTCCATCTTTGGTGGCTTTAGCTTCTAGGCAGAGGTTCTTCAGGAGATTTCTAAGAATCCTTTAAAAAAATGGATCAGGAGTCCTATTCTTATAGGTGCTTGATTATCCCAGATTTAGGAGTGAACATTTTTGTTAAGGAAAGAAATCTTTTACGGGGCTAGAAAGAATTGTAAGCTAAGTTGTCTCACTGAAAATGCCACCTATCCACAGATCATTTGATGTGATATTTGGTCTTCATGGCATTTTTTGCTATGGAAAAGGATAATGCAGTTTGAATTTGCCTTCTTTTTTTTAATGCAGCTTCCTTCACACCAAATATTCTTTATGGAGAAGTTGAGTTTTTTTCGTTGGTCATAGGGAGACAGGAGTTGTACATGTGCTACTGCTTGCCAGGAACAGGTTGGGGAGAAAACTGAGGCAGTTGGAATTGGTGATGCACTGGCCTAAAATAGGACGGAATTTGTACAATAAACCTTAACTGAAGGTGAATTAGTGTCCTGCATTTCTGTGTATTTGAACTCTCTAGAGTGCCTGCCATTGCTATGTAAAATGAGCTCTCTGCTGACCTCTAAACCAGTAATACTTTTGACTTGGAATGTTACTTCACTTTTATAGATGACATTTTCCTCTTTCTCCTTGAAATTTTCTGTGTTGTGCTAGGTAATTGGTAGATGTGTGGTGTGTTTACTAAATTTAGGCTTTATATTTGTTTAGATTTTGTTTGGTGAAGTCTGCTTTCCTTCCTGACTTTCCCAAAAGGTTATTTAGTTTGCATCTCTATCTTTGTGGAATTGATGATCACTGATTTGATTATGAAAACGTCTTTTCCAGCTTTCAGTTTTTCTCATCAAATGTCACATATTTCTAACCACGTTCTCCCTTACCATAGGGGCATACATAGTCACTTGGCCTCATGGCAGTTCTCTGTGCCAGTCTGGAGTTAGTTCCTTAGAACTTTGTCAGGAGTGAACTAGAGAAAAGTGCTTACTAGAGCTTAAAACCTAAGAGCTGCTTTATGCTGCATAGTCTGGCCTTTGCGTTAGTAGATCATTGCTGATGTAGGTCAGTTTAGAGACTTTTCTATATTAATGCCTCCTGATACTGTTTTAAGATACCTACAGTGTCTACTTTTAGATCTGTGCATATGTCATGAACCCCCTTATGAGGCTCTGCATGAAGCTGCTGAATTATCTTTGGGTTAGCTAGTCTGTCAGCTAGCACGCATATTGTCGAAATTCCATAAACGTAGGCTTCAAAGGGTTGTGTGGTTTCTAAACTCTGTCTTCTCTACCCTCACACCTTCAAAGGGTGAGAAATGGGATTTATAATCCAAAGTTAGTCTAGTAAATGCCTTTTTCCCCTCCTTTTAACCTAGACTATCAAGGATAAGTGGTGGTAAGCAGGCCTGGAGCCTCAAGTTCTGTAAATCTCATTCCTAAAACTTGGCTTGAATCTCATGTTGGCAAAAACAAATACCTGTGGATTGTCCTTAGGGCTTTTAATCAGATACCTGTGTTGCTGTTAACTGAACTCTAGTGAAGCATTAATCTAAAGCTTAATTGGTCTTCTGAAGTATCTGAAGTTATGCTTTTTGGGTTTGGAAAATATGTGGGAATTTGTCTACTCACTCATGAATCAGTGTGTTTCCATATCTGAGACCCTCAGCTTCCTCATTTTTTTCTTAATGATTTCAGTGTTTTGATGTAATGTATCCTTTTTTGTAGTTGTGTATTATTGGCTTCACCAGTGTTAACAGAAAAATTTTAAATCTCCAGTTGGAAACAGCAATGGATTAGGATATAGAAATAAAATCATGGTAACATCAGTGCTGGATTTCCTTAAGCCTCTGCTATCTAATTCCCCATACATACCCCTCATAACTTGCTGCTGGACAAAGGCAATTAGAGGGGTCTTATCCCAGTATGGTTGGATTTTAAACATATCTGTGTTTTCCACAGAAACACAGGAACTGTGGGAACTTGGAACTGATTAATTTTTTAAAAGGATTATTATTTTGTTGAAGAGTTATTTTGATACTAATGCTAAGAAAAGGGAGATTCTAGATCATCTTGAAGTTGGAATACAAATATTCTCTTGGGTTTGGGAGAATTAAAGCCGTCTATGCAACCCTTCACATGGTGAGAAATAAGCCCTCCACAGTCCCTCCCACTAAGCTTTCAGTGACTTTGATACTTCCCCAAATTTCTCGTGTTGCTGCTTGTTAACACCCAGCTTTTAACTGAGTGTTTGCTCCTGATGGTTTAAGAAATGTTCATGTTGTATCACACTGTCAGTTTTATTTTGTCTTTTTATCCCTCTGTGGGTGTGAGTTTGAAACAAGCATGGTACTGTAATCCTACCTGATAGAGTGGTCTGGAGTGAAAATTATTTTTTAAGTGGGAGATCCTTCCGTTTTAATGTTTCTAAAGTTTTTAATATGAACTTGGCATTGGAAAAGGGAGGGAAAGAAAAAGAATGTTTACTAAAAAGCAGTGTCTGCTCTTCCTCTTTTTGAGTGTGTATTCATTGTTGAATGAAAAGAAGAGAAAGACTCTTGGGTTTTCTGTTGCCATGTTAAGCATGGAGAGGGATGCTTGACAGCATGCTAATTGAAGCCAGAGCAAGTATGTCTCCATCAGGTTATCAGGAACTCTTCAGTTGAAAGCTGAGGACCTAACTGATCAGTGGTTGATTGATCACATTGAAATTGGTTACAGTATGGAAGTGCTGGCTGGGTTAAGCACCCAAAAAAGCGAATGCAGCAGCCTAACTAGGGTTAACCTAAGTTTCTGGATTTGAAATGGACCTTTCCCTCACCCTACTCCACACACCTAAAACTGTCCATCTTCTTGTCAGACCAAAGAGCAAAGAATAAAAACAAACAAACAAAAAAGTAAAACACTTTACCAATCTATATCACTCAGGTACAATTTTGTGGTGATATTTTTGTCTGTTTTCTTTGTGTTGCTCTTGAGTCCTTTCTCAGCATTTTATTCTGCTGTTGCCTCTGTCCTCCTTGGGGCACCTCAGTTCTGGATGCTACCCTGGAGTCTCTACTGCTGTTATGTGAATGATAGGATGTAAGTGACCATTACAGTAAGGGCTCTTTGTAAAAAATTCAAAAAAAATTTTTTTTAAATTTAAGAAAGGATGTTGTATACATTTTATAGTCTGGCTATCAGTTTGATATCTTGCTGTCAAGTATGTTTCTCAATCTGTATTTATCCATCCCATCAATAAATGTTAATGCTAAAACACTCATCTGATTGTTGTTTACGTGTACTGAGTCTTCAAATTAGTCTTTAACCTTCATTTTATTGATATGATTACAGTTTTGTTTTAGTTTTGCTAGTAGTATGTTGTTTTGCACAAGATCCTGTGGGAATTGAGTCCATTGGAAAAACCTAAGATTTAGTCATCACAGTGAACCTACTATAAGTATGATGTAGTCAGGAAAAAAACCCTCATTCCTTATTGTTGCATGGATACCTGGAAAAGTGGTACACAAGAAATACCTAGCTCTAAGAGATGAGAGCAACATGTACTGCTTATCTAGCAAGCACTATCAACATGATTCATAATTGTATACTTGGTTCTTTGAAAACTGATTTCAGATTTTTTTTTTCAAAGACAGTGTATCTGGAAGAAGAAAATTTGGGTCAGCAGATGTGTCTGTCAATTAGCAGGCATATTGTCCAAATTCCGTAAACTTAGATTTCAAAGACATCGCAGTGCATTTGGGAGAAAAAAATTAATAGCATTCGTGGTAGGGCCTGGAAAAATTGTGAATACTCACCCTTTTCCTGGGACATAACAAAACCACACACACAAGGTAAATCTTGTAAATTACACATTTAAAGGGAAAGAATTTTTATGCTAAAATAGTCCAAAATTATAACACAAAGTTAGCAGCAGCTATAGTTTAAAAGCTCAAAGGAAAAGAAGTTTAACAATGATACACACTTCTGAAAAAAAAATCACTTGAGTTCTGTTCATTCCTTCTTCCATTTTCTAAAATAAGACAAGATTATTGTTTGCTGTACCTCTCCTAAAACTTGTGGAAGTCACTGCTGTTTTAGGAATTCTGGTCCGGGAATGGAACAATAGAGAAGCAGTAAATGAATGTTGGAATGGATGATATTACAAAATAATAAATTTAGTGATTTGCCTTTGTTAAGAGTTAATATCAACTGTGTCATCCTTGGGGATAGATGAGGTATAAATCATTATAAAGGTTATGAACAACTGGATCTCCAGTTATAGGGTTTATTAAACTAATTGATACAGAGCTAGGCTTCATCTTATGGTTAATGCCTAAACCATCCTGGTTTCCCTGACACTTCTGAGAGCTGAATAAGACTGGCTTGCTCTCTGTTGTTCAACGTTCTGTAGACAGTTTGAAGCCCCTTGTATGACTTCTGTGAGCTTCGCTTTGAGATTTGTATTTACTGTAATCTCTAGCTCTGGGCCTACTTCTGAATTGATTTGTTTTATGGATTGTCACATGTCCTACTTCTTTTGCACTGTGGAATCTCAACCCCTTTTCTTCATTTCACATAACACTTAAAACCAACAGATAACCAAAAAAGCACAGTGATGAAATTAAGTTAAAATTGAATACTAGATACACCTTTTCTGAAAAGTAGTTTCAGGCCCTTCTCTGCCTTTCATTTATTCCTTCTTTAGAAAATAGTACCTACTAAGTGCTATGTACTGTTTACTGATGGAAATATGGCAGTAAATAAAAGAAGCATCCTGCCCTCATAGAACTTATATTCTAGTGGTAGGGAGACAAGTAAAATGTAGTATGTTAGAATGATAAGTACTTTGGAGAATGTAAAGCAGGGAAGGAGGGATAGGGATTTTGTGTGTGTGTGTGTGTAGGCAAGTAGGGTGGAGGAAGGCCTCATGAAATTAGAGTTCAGCAAAGACCTGAAAGAAGTGAGAGAGCAAGTCAGGGGAAGAGTTGGGGTAAGATCATTCCAAGAAATAAGTGTAAAGGTTCTGAGGTGAAGATGCTGGCATGTTTGAGTAATATCAAGGCCAGTGTAGCTAGTATGGAAATGAGTGAGGAGGGGAGAGTAGTAGCGTATATGGTTAGAGAGGCAATAGAAGGCTAGATACTGTGGGGCCTTTTCATTTATGAAGACAGTGAAGTGGGGCACCATTGCAAAGTTTTGAGCAAAGAAGTGACATGATCTAGCTTAGGTTTTAAAATGTTCATTCCGGCTGCTGTGTTGAAAATGGAACGTAGGCGTCAGGGGTAAGGAGTCTCTCACAATAGTTAAGAGTGGCTTGGACCAGGTTGGAAGTGCTGAAAGTAAATAAGTTACATAACTTGAAGTTGGAGCTGGTAGGATCTGCTATAAGGTTGGAAGAGAACGATGACTCCCAGTGTTTGGCCTGACCACCTGGAAGGATGGAGTTGTCATATACTGAGATGAGGAAAACTACAGAAAGAGCAGGAGTTTGACATTCATTCTCATGCTCGCTCGCTCTCTCTATCTCTCTCTCTCTCTCTCTCTCTCTCACACACACACACACACACACTCTCTCTCTCTCTCACACACACACTTTTCTCTAGGATTAGCCTCCAAAACTTCTTAAAAATTCTCTTTCCTTCAAGAATTCATCTTTCCCAACCTCTATTTACAAACAGCCTCAGGTCCACTTTAACGATAAAAAATAGCCATTTACTTTGTTAAACAGCACAAAGAATTGGCCAATATCTTGACCCTTTAATAATATCTGCCTCTTCCCCCACTTAGAAGGAAGTGGTTCTAAGCAGCAATTTTATGTCTGTTTTGGGTCTTAGCAGCAGAGTTTTTTTTTTTTTTTTCCCCCAACTAAGACCTTCAGTAAACCCTCTAATTAAACAAAGTCTTTGTTGCATCCCTAGCTAGTCCCTAATGCCTCTTTACATTGTTCCCTATAGTAGTTTTAATATTCCTTTTTGATACTACCACATTTGGTTGAAGATTCTGATTTCCAGATTTTCTGTAATGTGACTGCCTCTGGCTAGTTTTGAGTTATAGGCTGTTTATAACAAATGTCTTCTTTGTACCCCTTTTGAGGGTTGGAGTGTTTGCTTGTGTATATAAATCATACTTGTTTTTGCTATTAATATTATGTTTGTATTGCATGCACAACCCCAAACTGCTCTAGAATGTTTATTCCAAAAGAGAAAGGTTAGCTTTCTTGTTCTCTCTCTATCCCCAGTGCTTGGGACTTCTGTGCTCAATATATATTTGTTGAATGAATGAATTTCAGGAAAGAGCCTTCTAGGGCTTCCCTAATCTCTGGGAAAAGCACCTCTTCTGCCTGCCCCCCGCCCCCATTTTTGTTTTGCCCCTGGTGTTCTTGAGCGTTGTAGATTCTCTATGCCTCTACACTCACCTCCACTGTGATTGATGCTCACCTACTCATTGGTATTGGAGAAACATCTTACTTAAATGAAACTGACAGCAGATAAGGGAGCTTGGGAAGGTTGGGGTGCAAAAAAGATCCAGGAGGGTTAAGGGGGGAGTGCTAGTTCATTTCTAGAAGAGTGGTGGAGATGAAAGAAGAGAGATGCTTTTAACTAAAAATCCTTAAAGGATGATAAAATTAGGATTGTGTCTATTTCTATATACCTGCATTATTTAGCATGGAATTGTAGAGAATTTTAGAGAATCAGGGCCTAAACCAGAACTCGTTTCCTTATTCTCAGTCCAATAATCTTTACTATATGAGACGCAATAAGGGATCACTAATAAGGGCTGGGTTCAAATTCGCCTCCCTCTCCCATTTACTAGATATGGGCCCATTCTGTTCCTCGGTTATCTTATATGTAAAATGGGGATAACAGCCTCTACCTCTTAGAGTTGCTCTGAAAATTAAATGTTTGTATATATAATTTCCCAGACTCATTAAATACCCAAAAAATGTTTCCGTAAATGAACGCACAAAGAAAACGAAAACTTTTTCCTGTATAAACAGAGTCAAGTGTACAGTGATACTTTGGCCTCTATATGTCTGATTTTTTTACCCGCTGTGTAGGGGTGGTGAGGTAGCTGCAGCCTAGGACCACAGAGCGACCAAAAGCGACCTGAACACCAGCCACGCGGCGAGGTGGAAATACAGTCGCATTCGGCTAGCGGCTCCGGCAGCCCGCGCTGACTTCGCTTCACTCTCCTCCAGGCGGAGTTTCTGACAGACAGGTCGTCTCAGCCACCCCAGCCGCGCGTTTTCTCAGCGCCCCACCCTCCCAGAAGTGATAGGTAGCTGGCCTCGACCAATGGTGACACACCACCGTAGGCGCAGTAGCCAATCAGCGGTTGGGAGCCCGGAAAGGAGCGGGGCCGAGTTAGAAGCCGCTGGCGCGGCCAGGGGGTTAGCGGCGCGGCGCGGCGCGGCGCGGCGCGGCGGCAGAGGTAAGATGGCGGCGGTGCTTGCCCTTTCCCTTTGCAGTTAGGCTCCTGCTTCGTCCCTTCTGTGCGCTCGGAGCTGCTACTCTTCCTCATTCAGCGTCGGGGTCGCTCTCCTCCCATAGTCTCCTAGGACCCAGATTCTCTGGTGCCCGGAGCCTTGGACAAAATGGCGCTTGCACGCGCCGCCGAGGACGGGCAGGGCCAGCCGTGAGCTCTGAGGCGGGCCGGGACAAAGGCGGCGTGCAGGGAGGCGGAGACGGGGCGGCGTGGTGGCTTTGCTGGTGCTTCCCCCTCGTGTCGCCGCCGTGCGACTCCTTGAGATATTTTCGGCGCGGTAGTGGTCGGGGTGGGGCGGGCATGGAGGGAGAAGTTGAGGTGAGCAAATCCTCTCGTGCCTGGGGGGACCTGGGCGGAGGGGAGTTACGGAGCGTGACTTCGGCCTGTCCTTTAGAAACTACTCGCGCTCTGCCCGGATATTGTGCAGCAGGAATTTTCGGAAAGGGTAAGGGCGTTTTGGTCTTTTGTGTGACCCTGCAGGTTTTGGTATGAACAGGATTCGGATCCACGTCTTGCCGACCAATCGGGGGAGGATCACCCCAGTGCCCAGGTCTCAGGAGCCCCTGTCTTGTTCGTTCACTCATCGCCCATGCTCGCAGCCTCGTCTGGAGGGGCAGGAGTTTTGCATTAAGCATATCCTTGAAGACAAGAATGCACCCTTCAAGCAGTGTAGTTACATATCGACGAAGAATGGAAAAAGATGTCCCAGTGCTGCCCCAAAGCCTGAGAAGAAAGATGGGTATATATGCCTAGATATCTATGTCGTTTGTACTTTTAGTTTTAACGTGAGAGGGG